CACCATGGGGACAGCGTGGGGACGGTGTGAGGACACTGCGGGGAGTGTGGGGACAGCGTGGGGACGGCAAGGGGACAGCGCAAGCGTGGGGACAGTGTGGGGACAGYGTGGGGTGTCACTGTCACCTTGGAGACAGCGCGGGGACAGTATGACATGTCACTGTCACCCCGGGGTCAGCATGGCCACCCAGGGTGACACTGTCACCTCAGGTGTCACTGCAGCCACCCAGGTGGCACTACTTGGGGACAGTGTGGAGACAGCGTGGGGACAGCACAACCATGCAGGGTGACACTGCCACCTTGGGTGTCACCACAGGCACTGTGGGGACAGCGTGGCCACCCAAGGTGCCACTGTCACTTTGGGGACACCATGACCACCCACGGTGGCACTGTCACCTTGGGGACAGTGCAGCCACCTGGGGTGTCACAGTCACCTTGGGTGTCACTGCGGCCACCTCAGGGGCACCACCGCCACCTTGGGTGTCATTGTCACCTTGGGGACAGTGCAGCCAACGCGTGTGTCACTGTCACTTTGGGGACAGTGCGTCCATCGGGGGTGTCACTGTCACCTTGGGGGCACTGTGGCTGCCCAGSGTGTCAACTGTCACCTTGGGGACAGCGTGGCCACCTTGGGGACATTGTGGCCACCTTTGCTGTCACCATCACCTTGGGGACACTGCAGCCAATTTGGGGTGTCACCGTCACCTCAGGGGCACTGTGGCCACTTTGGGTGTCACCTTCACTTTTGGTGTCACCGTGGCCACCTCAGGGACACTGCAGCCACCTCGGGTGTAACTGTCACCTTGGGGACACTGTGGCCACCTGGGGTGTCACCACAGCCACCATGGGGACAACATGGTCACTTTGGGTGTCACTGTCACCTTGGGTGCCACCATGGCTGTCACCATCACTTTGGGGACAGTGCAGCCGCCATGGGGACAGCGTGGCCACCTGGGGTGTCGCTGCCGTCACCTTGGGGTCACTGTGGTCACCTCAGTGTCACTGCGGTCACCTTGGGTGTCACCCTGGTGTCACTATGGCCACCTCAATGTCCCTGTGCTCACCTTGATGTCAATATGGCCTCCTCAGGGTGTCACTGGGGTCACCTCGGGTGTCACCGTG